CCATCTGTGTCATTGTGCTTTCCCTTAGCATTCTTCATTCCTTTCTGTGCCACGTAATACTCTGTTATCTTGCCACATCACAATGCATTGATCCATTCGTCAGCTGGTGGTCATTTGGGTGGTTTCCTCTTTGTGATGATTGTGAAAAATAATGCGTAAACATTTGTAATGCACATTTTTGTTTGCATACATTTGCAGTTTTCTTGGGCATACTCTAGAAATAGAATTCTGGTTTCATATGGTGACTGTATATTTAACTGCTTGAGCTAGTGGAAAGTATTTTCTCAAGCAGCTGCAGCATTTTTCTTTCTCAGTGTTTTTCTGCATTCTCGCCAACACTTGTTATTGTACGTTTTTTGGATTATAAACATCCCAGTTTGTAGGCGGAGATATCTCAATGTGCTTTTGATTTGATATGGTTTTGATTCACCCTCTCTAATGTTGAGTAACTTTTTGTGTACTTTGCAGTTTCGTCTATCTGCCACAGTATTAAATACTGGGAGTGATTCCCTCCTCCTTGAAATTATTTTCTAGCAGGTTGGAACTTAGGGTTCCAATATTGGTTGAAAACTGACAAATGAATGTTGGTTGGTTTGCCTCCTTCCTCACTGTGTTTTTTAGCTGAGGCCTACTTCTCATTCTGAGCTTGGAGAAGTTTCCCTGCTATATTCGTTTTCTTTTTACTTCCTTTTAATGTAAACATAATACATAAACACTAAAAATCAAAATAAGACCCAAGAGAACACACAAATTTGTGTAAGATATTCACAGACCCTTGCAAACCCAGAGGAAACTGGCCCCCCTATTTAAGGGAAAACTCTGTCGCTTGACCTTGTCTAAAACCAAAGAGCTGTAGGAGCTGCAGTAACCACTACTGTTGGTGCGGGATGAAACGTAGCAGGAGGCTGGACTGATATGAGAAACTGCCAGAGCACAGCAGAGATGCCAGTTTTCCTAACCCTAAGCCCTCATTCTTGGCGAGCTGACTGCCAAGGCTGAGTATCACTGTGACCTTGAGATTCAGATGTGATGAGCAGGGTGCCCAGCTCAGCCCGACTTTTGCCAGTCTTGGCTTGACTATGAGATGAGCTGTGTCCAGCAGAGGACAGGAGTTGGGGAGCCGTGAAGAAGAGAGGATCCCAAGGGCTCTGCTGCATTTTCTTTTTTGTTTGTTTGTTCTTTGTTTTTTTGAGACAGGGTCTCACTACGTAGTTGAGACTGACCTGGAACTCACTATGTAGCCCAGGCTGGTCTCAAACTCACAGCGATCCTCCTGCCTCAGCCTCCCAAGTGCTGGGATTACAGGCATGAGCCACCACGCCCAGCCTCTGCTGTATTTTCATTCATGACTCTTTGTTACCCTATTTAATATTTTGCATTTTTATTGGAATGTAAGCTCTATGGGGGTAAGATCTTAGTCTTGTACAGTGGACCTGGAGTTATGACTGGCCTGGCATAAGGATAACTTGGGTCGTGACTGGAATTTTAGTTTTAACTTGTGACCAAAGTCTTGAGTTAGGACTCAAATGCTGGCTGCTTGTGCTTCCAGGTGATCTTAGATACACAGTTAAAGAGCTCTGGAAGGAACATGACAGCATCCTTTCCTGAGAAATCTCTCTAAGGACACTGAGATCTGCCTGTGTGCAGGAGACTTTGACAGCCTTGTACAGAAGCCTGAGCCCTCAACCGACCAATTTGAGTTACAACTACCCTTGGGAATGAATTGAGTTTGTAAGTCAAGGGTCCACTGTACATCACAGTATCTTTGGTTCCTAGAAAAAGCACCTAGCAATAAATGTTTTTGAATGCATGAATACATGTTTTAGAAATATATATATATATATATGCTACATGAATAAAAACCTGCGTGCTCCATTTCTGGAACATTGTATTATGCAAACTAAAGTGTCTTTTGTGCAGGACCTCTCAGATACTTTATTTTGTTAATGACCATTGCAAAGTAAATCTGATAACATTCTGCAAAGTATGGGATATTTCATAATACTGTTAAAATACTCTTCAAACTCAAGCAACTAAACTACAATCTCTAGCAGAATTATAGGGTGCTTTAATAAATAGATATTTTGTTTGCTCTTTGAAAAGTTAAATTGTGATCATCACTGCTTAATATGAAGAGGGTGTGTTAAATTATCCATTAAAAGTGTTTTAAATCAGAGCTCCATCTTGTTGAAAGGCCAAGGTGATGTTATTTCTTCACAGCAGTGAGGCTTATAGCTGACTTTGTCATGATCGCCCTGTTCTGAGAAGCTGAGTATGTTATCAAGATCATGGGATCAGCCTGTCACTTAAGTGTTTGTGTCAAAGTAGAAAGCTGTGTTGAGATTTCTGCCCTTGCAGAGAATCACCTATGCAGTGAGCTGTTTATTGTCTGTGGTGTCATGGAGTGTTTCTAGTGGTTACCAGTGATCGGGAGTGGCATTTCCAGGACTGGTATCAATGGAGCTAATGGAGACGGCTCTACATAGTAGACTTAGAGAAGCGATACACAGGGAGACAGGATAGGCACATGCTCAGGAGGTTCCCCCACTCTACGTTCACAGTCGGCGGTATAGTGGTAGGGGCTAGCAACCAGCATATCCCTAAAGACAAGAAAACAGGGTAGTCAGAACTCAGAGAGACAGGAGAAGCAGCCACCAGTGAGTGTTCACGTCTTGCAGTAAGCAAGGCAGGCAAAATGGGGTGACCTTAGGCCCATGTCAACACATTTGGCAACAGCAGGGTTAGGAGTCAGATGTATGCTTAGCCAGTCGTTCTCCAGTCGTTCTCCAAGTTTGGACCTTGACTAGCAGTATCATCATCATGGGGAGAGTCTTAGAAATGTAGATTTTTGAGACCTGGAAATCTCTATCTTAAGAAGCCTGAGATGTGTGTTCAAGTTTTGAAATTGCTGGTCAAAAGCAAAGAAACAAGTTCTGGTTGTTCATCCAAGGATCTTAAATATATTTCCTGCTAATGTGAGAATCAGTTCTTGAGTGTGATCTCAACTTGATCTTCAAGTTTTTTTTTAAAAAAAGAATAATCCAAGTGCAGCTGTATGTGTAAGTCTTACGTGTTAAGTCGCATGCTAAACACATTCTTAGCGGATTTGATCCTCTCAACAGCCCTGTGAGGTAAAAAACCATCGCAGTGTCCACTGTAGATTAGGATGCTATGACCAGGTCACCCAGCTGCTCATGTGGTCAGTCCCACTGTACTGTGTGATGCTGTACTTTCTGCTAAATAGCCACTGCGTGTGTTGCCATTGCTCTAACTGCAGAGCGCTGCTCTGAAAGATCTGATTACTACAAAGTATAAGGGAAATAACAGAGAATGGACGAATAGATGGAAAAATAGGTGGGTGGAGGGAGGAAGAAGGAAAAGACAAACGAATACCTGGAGGAAGAGAAGAGAAAATGAGGAAGAGAAGAAAGGACAGCAGCGGGTTGGGACGTAAAGATTGAGGGAAGGCTCTTTCTAAAGTTGGCTGGGTTGTTGTTCTGTGACACTTTCCCTTTCTTCCCTGGTCTTGCTTTTGAGTACCCAACCCATGGACTTCAGTCATTTCTATCGTGGGCCCACCCTGCATGGCTTTCTCCTAAGAATTTGCTTCCTGGGGAGTTCGGGATTCATTTTCCCTTGTTCGCGTGGTTTTTCTCCCTTCCTCCCTATGTTCACATAGTCTTTGTGCCTGAAGTACATACCCGCCCCGGCTGCTGAGGGATCCATGCCCAGCTTCATCACTGACGGAGAGATGCTGGCGAAAAACGTGTCGCTCTTTGGGGACTGTGTGCTCAGGGGCTGATGCAAAGCTTCTCTCTGCGTCGTTCTCCTTGGACGCCTTGCTCCCTGCCTCTGCTTTAATTACATGTCATTTCCCCTTCCTTGTGCCCAAAGCCCCAGGGACACTTAATCTCACATTCTCTGGAGTTTTGCAGCCTGACCACAGTAATCAAGAAGGGGTAGGCTTGATCAGGTATGATCAGGGACAAGGTTTGAGTCCTTGCCTGCCTCTCCACACTTAGGCTCTTCACTTTCCTGTTCCTTGCTGTTGTTTGTAATAAACACAGGAACATAGCTCAAGGGCAGGAATAGGTTTAACCTCAGCCAAGGTACAACAGGTGCTATTGGGAAAGTAAAGGTACAACAGGTGCTATTGGGAAAGTAAGACTTTCAAATGGCAGTTTAGCCTTGAAGAACGTATTGAATTAGATACGGTGTGAGCCTTGATTCATGATCTCTGTATAATAGCATTGCTATGTATATTATATGGGTGCTTTAGTAGGCTGGAAAATGGGCCATTTAAAAGATGTGTTCACAGAATCCATGCCTGAGCTGTCGAAGGAGGGGGCAAAAGCCAGGTGACCTAACTTCCTGGGCTGATTCTACCATGGCCTCTCTGAACATTGGTTTCCTTGCATGAAAAATGAAGAATGTGTTAGTGTAGGATTTTTAGAACTATTAATGAAACAATACCACGTACAAAAACAAAGCTTGATCACAGAGAAGAAAAGCTTAATAAATGGGAACCGTTTGCATTACTATTATGCAAGCCTTATGTAAAGCCCCAGTTCTATCATTTGACCCTACTACTTCCTTTTCTCTTTCATTCTCTGGATTAATGCAGTGCTCTGTTAGCCAATTCTTATTTCCTGTCAGTTTCAAAGTCACACTGGTCACTTTTGAAGGCACATTGTCATTTCAAAGTACTGGCTAAAGACAACCAAGACTGACAACTCTGAATGATTCCACAGGCCTCCAAAGTACTCTGGCATTTCTCTCAAACTCATATATGCCACCAAGTTGGTCCCTCTTGTGTTGCACCTCTCTCTCCTCAGCAGATTTCATATATAGTTACTGGAGGTGAACATCATCCTCCTCTGAAAAACAATCCAGCAGGAAGTGAGGCTGAATAATTGGGCTTTGCGAGAATGTCACTGTCAAGTCTAAAAATATGTGGCGAGATAATCATATTTTACTTTTTCTGTCTTACCCGTTTTCAGCACGTTCATGTCCACGTTCTTCCCAGAAAGGCTGGAGACTTCCGCAGGAATGACAGCATCTATGACGAGGTGAGTCTGCCTGCTGTGCTCTTGGCGTCTGATCGCAGGGGCTGTCAGTGTGGTGAAATCGACCAAGTGAACCGGGTATCATGCTAGATAGGGTCCTAAATGAGGCTCTGCCCAACATGACTTGGAAAGAGGCCTTAGAGGCCAAGAGTCTAAGGATAGCTATCATTTGAAAGGGAGACCAATGAATTTTAGGGATTTTTTTTTTTCAAATGAAAGCCAGCCACGTCCAAGTGTCCTTGTAATTTCTGCCTTGTCATTTACCAGGACCCTAAGTGTCTGTGTGGAGATACTGGTCCAGAATCTCCATAGAAGAAAATCTACAGTGCCTTCAATGGAAATTAAACAGATTTATAAAAGATCCCTCTAGGCAAAAACTAACTATGGTTTTTAAGACATTTTGGAACTTAGTTTGTCTCCCTAAATATGTTTACTCAAAGTGGAAATTTGAATTATGACAGAAACTAGCTGGTTTGAAGGATGCAAGTGTAACCTATGTATCATAAGGCTTTTAGCAGTTAACTGATTTGTGGATCCTCCCGTCCACAGCACAAATGTGGAAATAGTACCACACGAACCAGCAGGCGTCACCTTGTCTGCTCTTTGGGTCAGGTCTGTCTTGTGTGGAACACACAGCCTCTGAGGGATTCGACTGGTATAACAGTAAGGTGATTTTAGATTAGCTGCTTGTTCTAGTCAAGTAAGGGAAAATATGTTTCCCACATTTTATTGCTGATCAAAAGGCACAAGTGTCCTAGAGCACTTGGTTGAAAAGGACTTTGAAAGGTGTTTCTACACGGGAAGGAAAGGTGCTCCAATTGACTAGCAGTTTCTACCACAGATGTCAAATGGGAAAGAGGTGCCACAGTAGTCATCTGCTCCTATTAGAATTGTGGTTGTCTGTCTGTGACTCCGCCAGGTGGAACCATAGGCTTCTCTTTAGGTGAGAATCATAGAGCTGAGAAGGGTCTTATAGAGTGAAGCTTTTGTATATGTGTTTATGAGGTTTTCTTGCAGTAAATGGGCATTAAGTTGGCTGTCCAGACCATCAAAATAAAGACTAAGAGATCAACATTTAATAATGCAACTCATAATTCTTTTTCTGGGACTCACTGGATTGTTCAAGTTGAGGGATTATTTCTCTGGGTAAAACACCTGTAGGATACATCATATTGTCTCATTTTTCCTGTGTTTGCCAAGAGGTGCAGCAGACCTGTGTCAGATGGAAATGGTCTCATCACTGGAACTTAAGTGCTATTTTATGAAAATCTCAATTCCTAGGAGGATCCATCTCCAGGAATTCTGTTCTAGTAGATTTCAAAGGCAATGGGCGACCAGTTATGATCCTGGTGTGCGACTGGGTATGAAAATAGGCTTTCTGCTGAATCTGGGGTTTCCAAAGCCATTCTGTAGTACTGTAATTTGATCTTATTTTCACTGGGTGTGGAGTACACTTTGGGGATCAATATAAGGGCTTTGTCTATGTTACAGGAAAATCAGAATTATGGGGTAATTATAAAGATATGCATTATAAAACACATACTGATCCTATTAACATAAACTGAAGTTCACAAAATATTGCCAAGTATAGGCTATTTTAATGAATAAATTAGCACATGATTTATATACAAGTGAGTATTGCTGAAGTAGTATTAAGAGTACTTGAAAACACTATTTTCTTAGGCTGAGCAGTCACGTTGAAAACTTGTTGATGTCGCAAATATACTGGTGACAGAAGAAGCTGCACAGGCCCATGTCAGCCTGGCTACAGACATGGCGTCCAGCGAGGTAGTCGATTGTGGCCTTTCTGTCCTGTCTTCTTCCCCTTGTGTGCATGCAGTGACGCTGGCCCTGGTCCCTCAGAGAAGGCAATACATGTTGCAGCATTCCAACTGTTTGGAGGAGCATCTCAGGGGAAGTAGTTACCATGAGAAGTGTTTGTTTTATAATCAAGGGTAGGTCATATGTAGTATACCTACTATCTAAGGAAAATTGTGGTACAAGACTGTAAAGAGATTGAACCCTGAGAATGATCAGAATCTGGTTCAAATCCCAACACCACCTACTAACTACCTACACGACACTGGGCAGATCACTTAACCACTATGTTTTAATTGTCTTATCTTTAAGGTGCAAATAAGAGCTCATACCTCTCTGAAAGATCATCATGTGTAAATATTTCATGACATATTCTGCCTGAAGTTTTACTGTAGAGTTTGGCACATACTAAGCAATTATTAATAGCTCTCTTATTGCTATTAATTTTGTTTTACAATTGTTAGCAGTGCCAGGCAAGTGGACAACCCAGATTAAGGCCAGGTCATTGAATATTGCCATCCAGCTCTCCTTCCAAGGGCCATATTTCCAATTTTCTTTGTGCCTTTAGCCACTCATTCCCAGTTTCATCTTCCTCTTTGTATAAAACTCTTTCTCTGATCTGAGTACATAATGTGGTTATACCTAGAAAGAGGCACGGAAAGCATGAGGTTTATTGGCATAAGATGTAAAGTGCATTAGACTGAGTGATCTTAATCAGAAATGATAGAGTGAGGAGGAATGGCATTCTTTCATACTGATGAAATCAGTCGCTGTGGATTATGCATCTCTTCAGGACATGCAACAAACAGACTGCCATGGAAGGGGAGGGGTGGAAGCCAGGACCGCAGGAGACTGAGATCAGTAAATACATAGAAAAGGTTGCTAAATGGGCCCTGAGTTATGTCAGTTAGAAATGTTGCATTTTCTCTGGCACCATTTTAAAAAGGATAGTGACAAACTGGAGAAAATTCACAGAAAAATGTTTGAGATGGCAGGTTCTAGAAGTAAAGATTGGGAAAGAGCTGGTGTTTAAACTGGAGATGGGATGACATGCAGAGGAATGACAGGGACAGAGTTACTGTTTCTAAATATTTGAAAGGATGGTAGTAGAGAAGCATTTAATATATTCCGGGTAGCCCCAGAGAGCCCATCTGGCATTACCAGTCTATAGAGAGGCAAATATAATCTCCAGATAACAGCAGGTCAAATTGAGAAAAATCTGAGCAGTGAGAGTGCCTTTTGAGGAAGTGAGCTTCTCCCTCAGACAAAGTGTGTGTAGTCTCGATTCTTGAGGCAGAAGTGTGCGTTTGGTCATTGCTTGGACTACCTGCTCCGTAGTTCCTGTCCTTCTACCCTGGCCCATTTGATCAACTCCTCCATGTTCTATTTTGAACAGTGCCCTTTTGTTAAGAGTGTTACAACCTTTGGACTGTTGCCTAATAAAACATATTCTGTTTTGCTTAGTTCCTGCAATACAAGATATAACTCTTTCTTGTCTTTTATGAGATCCCATTCTGTTGACTTTCTCTTCTCCAGACTAATTCCTGCTTCTTCTCCAGCTCATATTTGAGTATTGATGGCCCAGGGCTTTTCTCACCTCCTCATATGTATCTAATTACTGCCTGAAATGTATTTTTTAATGATGCTCTCTATTTTGTCTGCAAAGTGTTTTCTTTTTGGTTTTGCTTTTGGTACTGGGGATCGAACTCAGGACCCTGCACTTACAAGGCAGGTGCGGAGCCACTGAAGTAAATCTCTGGCCCTGTAGTGTTTTCAATGAGTCTGATGCTATCAGGAATGCCACTCATTCTATAGATCACTACAGTTCTCACGTATGTCTCTTGCCTAGGCTTACTTCCCTCAGTTGTGATACTTGCCTGCCCCCTCTAGGAAGCTGAATTTGAAATCCCTGCCTATTGCATGGACAGCCCTCTCCTCTCTACCATGCACATATTACTACTCCAGGATCCTCTGTCTGGTCCACTGTGCATGCCATTTATTTGAAACATCTGTACACCTACCTGCTTACTTTGCAATGGTGAAGTCCTGGATGAATTCTTTAACTTCAATCTCAAGTCCTGTCCATCTCCCCAGCTCCTGTAGATCTCATTCTCTCTTGCTGCTTGCTTTTGTCAAATATACCATTCTTGTTTTGAACTCAGGGATTTTGTTGTCATGTTTGGCACTAACTTCTATTTTTCTCCTTCCATTCCTACTGTTTCATATTTTCATCTGAATTTCAGCTCAAAGTTATGTCTCTCAAGAGTCTTTTTACTATTACATTGCAATTAAAATTGCTAGTCCTCTGTCCCTTACATAGTAATTTTATTGGATCACCTTGCCTGCTTTCTCTGTAACACATTTGAAGTGTATATTCAGTGCCTGCATCACCCAGCATCATTGTAAAGCCCTTGAGAGCAGGGCACTTATTTAGCAAAGAGTGGTCTTCAGTGGATAGTTGGTAAATACATGAACACATGGAAGAACAAAAAGAACTAAAAAAACTCCTACTTTCCTACTAGTTCTGATATAATTTGAAAGGAGAGCATATGTTACTTTCAGAAGGTAACTTAGAGCTGCACTGGGTGAGACTGACACAATGCTATCAGGTGTCTGAAGTTAATTTAATGGGGCACTGATAGAGCAAAGTCCTTTGCTCAGGAATTGGTGTGCAGAAGGCTCAAAATTGTGGCACAACAGAAAGGCCTGAAGAAGTATTAAATTATTAATATGTATTGTGCATTTAGAATAAACATCAACATTTTCACATTAGCTGTGTACTTGCTTACAAAACCTAAAAGATAACATCAGAAATAAAAATCTATATGAACTACATTAAAAATACCAATAGAACTCTACAGCAAAAATAATCCTTGCTTGAACTGTCATATCCAAGGCAGTCTTCACACATAACAGCTGCATGTCTCATGCACGTATCTCACTTACACTGACAGCACATGTGCTTAGCTTTCCTTTGCTGTGCACCAGGCCATCCTTGTCACCTCTCTTCTCTTCCTATTTTGTCAAGAGCTTCATACTATGTTGTACAGTGTGTACTTAGCAAAGTAATAAGATATCAATAAAATAAAATATCAACTATGCAATAAGTGCTTAGAATAGACATCAACCTTTTCACATCAGCTGTTTACTCACAAAACCTAAAAGATAAAATAAGAAATAAAAAC